ATTTTTCAATCAGTTGTGGTTTCATTTTTTTAGGCTTCTATATATATATAGAATACGGAACTTTTTTTTTATACCTCCAAATATACATTTTCTATTTTAAACGATTGACAGTGATTTGTATTTCCGATAAATTCAGTTCAATCTAGGAAAAAAAGAATATAAAAAAGTATTAAAAAAAACAAAACTCCAGACCTTTAATCAAATACTGTGTATATTGTACATAGAAAAATTTGTTTTAATAAACAATTTTTTTTGTCAAATTCTTCTATTAATGTTAAACAAAAATTTATTTTTCATTTCGAAATATTCTATGTTTACTTCTTTTTCTAATTTTCTCGTTTCATTCAATTAAACTTATCGTATTTTAGAATTTTATTTTCAAAATAAGATTTTTCAAAATACAAATTATTTCGAGTTCTGTGTTATGATATTAAATAAGAAAAAAGTTTGCAAAAGACAAATTTTTGCATTTTAGTCTTGCAATATATTTTATTCTTTACGAGCTTCCTTCAACTTCAGCAGAATGTTAATGAGAAACTCTCAAGAGAGCAGGTAGAGGGTCAGGTATAAGACAAAAGAGTGAGAGATATTATAAAGCTTAAATTACTCCTAAAACTTTGAAAAAGGGGAAAAAATTTTTTTTTTCGAAACTGCATCCGATGGGTAATTAGCATGAAGCTAAAACTTAATACAGTTGGGGAAAAAATGAAAAAAAAGTAAAGTTAGAATTTTATTGAAATAAAAATATTCTGATTTTATTATAGGTTTTTTCAATTTTTTTTTTGTTATATTTTATTTATGAAATATAGTAATTTAATATGTTTATTGTAATATGGCCTATATAATTCGCTCAATGATAAAGGGATAAAAGAGTGATATAAAAAAATGAAATTAGTTCTTAAAATCTTGATAACGATATGAAAGAAAATGGAAATCCATAAAGTTTCTGTTCTCTGTTGAGATATAAAAGGCTCTCCAGTAGTTGAGCTTAAGAAATAACTTGTGAGCAGTGAACCAACATTTTATTTTTTTATTGCAGCACATGCCACGATAATCTTGAAATTTTATCTCTAATTTCATATATTTTTCTTTAGTAGAATTTAAAAAAGAATCTTTTATAGGAATTTCCATTTAAGTCGTTTTCTTTAGGCCTTCCAAGATCAGGCATTTTAAATTTAAAAAAAACTGACCTCAAATTCATAATCAGCGACCCCAAAAACCCCCGAGTAACAATTTTCAAGCGATTTCAAGTAAATTTTAAAAATACGACCGCCATATTGGATCCACCATTTTGAACTTAAAAAAACTGACATCAGATTTGTAATCAGCGACCCTAAAACCCGCCGAGTTACAATTTTCAAGTGAATTCAAGTAAATTTTAAAAATACGACCGCCATATTGGATCCGCCATTTTGAATTTTGTAAATCTGACCTCAAATTCATAATCAGCGACCCAAAAAACCCCTGAGTAACAATTTTCAAGCGATTTCAAGTAAATTTTAAAAATACGACCGCCATATTGGATCCGCCATTTTGAATTTTGTAAATCTGACCTCAAATTCATAATAAGCCACCCCGAAAACCCCTGTACAACAAACTTCCAATAAATCCGTTTGATTATTAAAAATTCGTCCGCCATATTGGATCCGCCATTTTGAATTTAAAAAAACACATTAGATTCGTAATCATTTATTTCATTTATTATTTATTTAATTCATTTTGTAATCAGTGATTTCCAAGCAAATTTGATTAAATTCTAATTGTACAATAACTAAAAAAGAAAATTTATTTTTTCAACCTGTTTTGTGTACATTAAAACAGAATTGAAAAATTTAAAATTTGTTTTTATAGTTTTCAGATGGTTTTCAAAAGTTTTTAAAAACTCGTATATGAGTGTTTTCATTGCCCTCGGGACCATGAGTCAAAAACTTCGATCTCTCCAATATCGGATCACTAAATTGGATGGGAATTTGCAAACTACGAACCACAAAGTAACTTTAATTAAAGTACTTTGATTCTCATTAAATTTGTTTTTTTAGTTTTGATATAAATTAAAGTAATTTTTAATAACCGGTAGTTAGACGATGAATCTAGATACAAGATATTTAATAATGATCACAATCAAAAGCAATGAGAATATTATCTAAAAAGTATATTTTTTGGTGTTTTTTTTCCTAATCACCTTATATTTCTAATTTATCTTCAAGTCGCGTACGATGTCAATGTTAAAATGACTTTTCATTTTTGTTCTCGAGAATAGAAAAATATAAATTTCTCGTTTTTGTACATTTTCTTACTTTTGAATGTTGAAAAAATTTCCATTCATGAATCAATTAAAGAAATTCCTTTTCAATTGATATTTTTTTGTAATGCTTCGGGATTTACCCCGAAGTACTTAGATGCGCGTTCTTTCTTAACATTTAAGCAAAAGTTGCGAATTTGAATTTCAGAGTAGGTCGTAAGCATGGAAGAGTAGATCCAAGAAGAGAAGATTGAATGATAAGCATCCTCTTTTCCTCCCTTACACAGCCTTCCTCCCCCTTGTCCAACCTCTCAGTTTGCAATTTGAATATTCTACCGTTGAATTGTAGGAGGCGTGAAATATAAAAAGCGTTTTGCAAAAAAAAAAAGAGAATCTGAAGTCTCTTGTCTCATTTTTTTCTTATCAATTTGACCTAAATTTTCGTTTTTTCGCCTTATGTATAATTTTATAACAAATGTAAAGTAGATTTGTTCTTTTTTGGAAAGTTTTTTGAACAATGCTTTGAAAAATTGATTTGAAAAATTGTTTTGTTAAATTGTTTTGTAAAATTGTTTTGAAAAATTGATTTGTAAAATTGTTTTTGAAAAATTGATTTGGAAAAAAAATGTTTAGTTTAAAAATTTCTATCAAATGTTTGCGTTTACGAATGATAAGCGACGTGGCTTTACGCCTCATTCGTTATTTCAGATTATCCGCGACACTGGGTGTAATGGACCGTCGCGAGAGATAACACCGGGATATGTGAGTGTCTCGATTAAAATTCTAATACGCTCACTCGCTCTATTGTTGGATATCAACGTAATCTCTAATTTTTTATTTAAATTACAATTCCCGGTTGGCCCTTATCCCTTCAAAGTTCAACCCCGAGTTCTTTCAATCTGCGAATTGAATTGAACTATATTTTTTATTCAATTTCGTCTCATATTCATTAAGGTTGATATTTGTAATTTTTGACTCTGTTTCTATTCTGAAGAGGTGGTAAATTAGGAAAAAAAAACAAGAAATATAATTTTTTTTATGTTTAATGTTAGTCTATCTGGAGACGACTAGATACTACAAGCAGCAATGCCAGACTCCCTCTCCCCACCACTGAGCGCTGCCCCACTATGGAGCGTCCTCCCCACTCTTCGAGCAGTTTGGTATTTATAGGGCACGCGCTAGCATTTCAATCAGTTCGCCTATTGACACGCACTGAAACTTTTCTCAATACGAAATGAATGTTCTGTTCCTTGATGATCAGCACGACATTTGGCAGAATTTCGTAAATATTTCACTATTAGAATTAGAATTTCTTTATTTTGTCCCAGGAGAACCATGAGAACAACAATTGATTTACAACGAATACAATATATTTATGTTTATAATACAAACAGTAGAGAATTATACAGATCACGAAAAGAAATTTTAAACCAAAAGAATCACAATAATAAGGATTATAATGCAATCATGTTACAGTGTCAGATCATTATAAACAGCACAACAATAGTCAAAGTGAAGAAGAATCAACGAAGAGACAAGCTGAGTCTTTAACTGGACAGAAAGAGCTTTTCTATTTTATTTAAATTGTTGTAAGGTTGCATAAACACTTCTACAAATTAATCCAACATGTTTATCTCAGGAAAGAGTTTGACGAAAAGTGACATCCAAGTTTTTAACAGATAATACATAAGGAATAACAGTGTTATTTATTTTAATTGAAGGGCATGCACCCAAATTCAAACACTTAATATTCCAAGAGGAACCAATAATCATAGAATAACTTTTCTTGAGATTTATCTTAAGCTTATTGGATTCTGCCCAATCATAAACGGCCTGAACATCCTCATTAATTAGTTTGATATTTTTATTCAGCTCATCAAGACTAGAGTGTTAGTCCATTCATAGTTTACCATCAGGAACTAAAATGAAATTTAATGAAAAAGTATTTGTAATTCTCAACAATGTTGGGAGAGTAATAACATCTTTAAATTGGTCATTCTCTGGAGGCAATTATAAAGAATGTGAATTGCGATCTAAAACTTGTTTAAAAAGTTTTGCTTACAGCTTATAATTAAAGCAGATATCAACATAGTAGTGTTTCCAACAGCTATTCGTATTTCAAACGTAGATAACTATCATACGCTGATTACGCCCTATTGCAGAATATGGAACGGATATAATCTAGTTATCCCATCCTCTAATTACTTCCGCAGCCTCTTCTCGACAAATATCGAATTTTGATTTGACCCAATACATCCAACATTTCATTCCGTTAAGATTCTTTCGCCAAGTTCATTCCGACTTAACTTCTCTCTAACGGGCATTTGGGTGGGAAACTTTTATTTATAGAAAATATTCATACAATTTGCAACAAAATGGAGACTAGAAATTATTTCCTGTTGTATTGAGAAATCAGTAATTTTTCGTGAGTTGATTTCTTAGCTAAGCGCCTGGTAAGTTAGCGTCTAATTGCCTCCAGATAGACTAACATTAAATATAAAAATTTTATTTTCTTGGTTTTTTTTCCTAATTTACCAACAGAAGGTAAACCATGACGATATTTATGAATATAATTGTAATTATCATAAGAACACCTAATTCTAATTCAAAGAATTTAAAATGCAACTTGCTGCTAAAGTTAAATTCTTCATTAGTAATTAAAAGTTTAAAATTATCTATAACTGTAAAAATATTGATGTCATATTTTTAGATCTATTTACAAAAGTGGACGTTTACCAAATTTTTTTTATTGTTTCAGCAGTCAATTGCTACAGTATGCTGCACGGGAGTAGTGGTAAAAATGGAGAAACTTTCCCAAATACAATTGAAGAAGCAGCACGATTGGGGCCCTATATCGACAAGTCAGCATCGAAAAACGTGACAGCTCTATTGGGAAAGACGACGTACCTAAATTGCCGCGTCAAAAATATAAACAACAAAACGGTGAGTGTGTCAAGTGTATTCTTTCCTTTATAAAGTTCCAACAAGTTTTACAAATGGTTTTCTCACACAATAGTTATTTCGATTCGTCTTTTCACACTTTGCGGTTCCTACTCTCAGTTGACTTGAAAAGTACTTCTGACATTGTCATGTATCTCACTATTTGGATATATATACGTATAAACTTTTATATGGCGCCTTCTGTGACCACTCTTTTGAATTTCATTTATTGGTAAATTATTCTAGAACCCGGTGGAAAATATTTCTACAAATACACCTCTACTTCCTCAAGTATAAATAAACATATACTATAAATATCATTATATTTTAAAATCTAATGATCGTAAAAATTCGAGAGTATATTCATTTAGTAAAAATGGCATGTTCATTTTTCTCGTTACTTTTAGTTTTGATATTTTTAAATTACACATTGTTATTTTTTAATTAAACCGAAAAAAGCTCTAATTAATTTAATAAATCATTAAATTTCACGTCCATTGAATCTGAAATTATTTAAAAATAACACAATTTCAGCAACTTAACAAATAATTGCATTTTCACAAAGCCCTGTACGTGAGCAAAATATCGAGTGTCAATATTTTATTAACACAAAGCACCCCTTATCTCCAATGGACTCGTGCATCAATTTAAAGGATCATTGAAATTTTAATACCCCTATTTGTTATTGATTAATTTTATTGTAATGAGTGTTTTTTCAAGTGGTATTTATTTTATCAAGTACTTTTGTTTCACTTGTACTGTACTAAATTTACACATTTTTTAACATTCAATTGGAATGTTTGCTTTTTTTCCCAAACAGTTTATATGGGAGTAGAAAAAAAATTTAAGGACAAAAAAATACTTATATATTAATATAGCTTTCTATACATTAAAATGTAGTTAATAATTATTTTTTTTGAAAATAGAGGGAAAAAATTAATAACGCTAAATAGATGGTGTCGAAACGAATGAAAAGTTAAATCGTTTTATCGAATTTAGATTTAACAGTTGAATGAATATGTCTTTTGAAAGAAGAGTACGACGAGTGAAATATGTCCTGGGAAATTTTGAAGCGTGTATTGAGTGTGCTTTGTATCTCATGCAGAGCGTATATCAGTTGCACGTGAATGTTAGGTAACATCTGGTATTTGAATGTCCAAAGTATGCATACATGTATGGAAAATATCTATGCGAACAGATTTCACAAAAAGAAACTTCGACGATGATTTCGTTTTCCTGTACAGATTTTATTTTATTTTTTTACTTTTCATTGCTACTGTATATAAAAAAAAGAAAAAATGCGGAACATATTTCATAAAATTGCAGTCATCACTGAGATTGGCACTGTAAATGAAATTTTCCCAATAACAAATTTTAATGGATCTATATAGAAATATGGCGATTAATATTTTTTTGAAATTTATTTTCTAGATATAAAAATTGATAAGATAATTGTTACTATTTACTTGAATTAATTTTTTATTCAAAGATATTAAATACTTTTGAAACGGTAAGGATTAATTAATAATTATTTTCTTTTTATTTATTCGAATCTTTAATTAACACTTGTAATTCAGCAAATTCAGAACTAAAATTCACTTAAGCTGTTGGATAGATCAACGTCATTGTACTAATGAATATTTATTTTACGAAAAGCCAACAGTACTGAACAATTATTAAACATAATTATCAAAATTAATTTTAGAATCATCCGAGTTACACAAGAATAATATTTAATAAAAAAACATTGTCATTCGGTAAACGGATGTGTGAAGATTGCTTCCTATTCGGATCTTGTAATATTAGTGGCAAAACTGAATGCAGACAAGTGTTTTAGTGTAATGTAAGTGAAACAGTTAAGGAATAGAACATTCATTTGGTATTGAGGAAAGTTTCGATGCGTGTCAATAGGCGAACTGATTGAAATGCTAGCGCGTGCCCTATAAATACCAAACTGCTCGAAGAGTGGGGAGGACGCTCCATAGTGGGGCAGCGCTCAGTGGTGGGGAGAGGGAGTCTGGCATTGCTGCTTGTAGTATCTAGTCGTCTCCAGATAGACTAACATTAAACATCAAAAAAATGATATTTCTTGGGTTTTTTTCCTAATTGACCAGCTCGACAGTATTATTATTAATTTATTTCACAAGGAATTGTTTAATTTATTTATTTAAAACAGTGGAATATTTTGCACTTTTTTACTGTTAGAACCCATTTACCACAAAGAAGAACTACGTATGTTTAAAAAAAGAAAACAGTGAAGAAAGTTACAACCGACACTTTTTGTCAAACTATTGGCCATGAACAGTCGTATCGTCCGCAATATTTACAATTATTACTACTTTTCTCGTGTATATACTATGGGAGGAGAAAATGAGGGAAACTGGAAGGTATAGCAGGATGAGAGCGTGAAATGAGAATGAAATAGAAGAGAACAAAATAGTGGAAGAGGGTAATGTGACACGAGGACAAAATACGACAGAACTGAATATAAAACGTAGAAAAGAAGGTGAGGTCAAAGAGAGACGATGCGCAACGAAATGGGGTTATGTGAAGGTAAAAGTAAGATGAAATAGCGTCATGAAATATTATTCTCTTCAAGCCCCATGGACTATATTCATTTTATGACTAACAGATTTTTTTCTCCCTCTGCTTTTTAACTTTTATTGGTCAGAAAATATTCTTCTATTATAATGAAATAATGGATTCATTAAAAAAAATTATTACACTTAGATAATTAGGGTTGCCACAGGTCAGGGAAATCAGGGAATTCAGGGAAAAGTCAGGGAAAGTAAAATTCATCAGGGAAAAGTAAGGGATTTTTATTTAAGTAACTGGAAAAAATTGAATTTTTAAGAAGTTACAAATGATTGCAGAAATTCAATTATTTTCAAAAGTAATAAAATTTTTCGCAGAAATTCAATTATGTTTAAAAATTTAAAAAAATTCTCATAAAAATTCAATTATCTTTAAAAAATAATAAAATTCTTCTTCAAACTTCAATTATTTTCAAAAATTTTAATAAAATTCTTTGCAAAATTTCAATTATTTTCAAAAAAATTTTCTCAATTCAATGATTTTCAATATCTACAGTTTTAATAAAATTTTTCAAAAGAATTCAATTATTTAAAAAAAAATTTTGATAAAATTCTAAGCAAACATCACAATCAATTATTTTTATAAATAATAACATTTTTTACAAAAATTCAATTATTTTCATAAATAATAAAATTCATCATAGAATTTCAATTATTTTTAATACAATTTTAATTGAATTCTTCGAAAAATGTAATTATTCTTGAAAATTTTATTAAAATTTCTCGAGAAAATTCAAATTTGTTGATAAAATTCTTTATGATAATTTAGTTTTGAAAAACATTCATTTATTCAATAAATTATTTATTTGCATTTTATTTTTATTTAAATAATTGAATTCTTGTAGAATTTTCCAATAAAAATTGATTTTCATTTCATGAAAATGAATTTCAGTTAAAATTTGAGATAATAATTGAATATTGAAAGCATTATAGCATGAATTTTTAAAAATACATAATTGAATGCTTTCGAAGAATTTTAACAAAATTTTTGAAAATAGTGACATTTTTCGAAGAATTTACTTAAAATTATTGTATTAAAAATAATTGAAATCCTGTGAAGAATTTTATTAATTTATGAAAGTAATTAAATTCTTGCAATGAATTTTTTCAAATTTTTTTTTAAATAATTGAAATAATGTAAAGAATCTTATTATTTATGAAAATAATTGAATTCCTGCATTGAATTTTATTACATTTCTTTAAATAATTGAATTCTTTTGAGAACTTTTATCAAAAAAGTAGATTGTGAAAATATTTGAATTTCAACGAAGAATTTCATTATATTCGTGAAATGTAATTAAATTCTTACAAAAAAATTAAGAGAATCCATTTTTCTGGGAATTTACTTTAAATTGTATTATAATTTATAAATAATTGAAATCCTCAGAAAAATGTTATAATTTATGAAAATAATGGAATTCTTACAACGAATTTTATCAATTTTTTTTAAATAATTGAATTCATGTGGAAAATTTTATTACTTGTAAAAATAATTGAATTTATGCAACGAATTTTATTACATTTTATTTAAATAATTATATTCTGTTGAAAACTTGTATTAAAAATGTAAATTTTGAAAATTTTTGAATTTCTGCGAAGAATTTTATTATTTGTAAAATGTACCTAATTTAATTCTTGAAAAAAATTTTTGAAGATAATTTTATTTTTCGAGAAATTCATCTAAAATTGTATTAAAAATAATTGAAACCATGTGAAGAATTTTATTATAATTTTTGTAAATGATTTAATTCTTTTTTGAAAAATTTTATGGGAATTAAAATTTTTATAAAACATGAAGATATCAATCACTCCGAGTCGAAGACTTCGTGTTTTATAATAATATTCTTATAAGTTGTTGAATTTTAAAAATGTTTGAATTTGAATGTTTTGAAGAATTCTAATTCCTATGGAAAAATAATAATTAAATACTTATTTAAAAATTTAGTTATTGATGTTTGGGAATAATTTTACAATTTAAGAAATTCGTAAGTAAATGTAATAGAATGTTTTTTTGAGTATCTAATAATTTTTAGAGTGAATCAGAATATTCTTTATGGTCCAGGGAAAAAGTGAAAATTTTGTCTGGAAATCAGGGAAGAGTCAGGGAAAAATAAAATTGAATATTTGTGGCAACCCTGATAATAAGAAATTTAAAGACGTTTTACAAAATTACAGATATATATTATTAAGGACAATTGGTCCATTTTTACATAAAAGGATAAGGCGAACTTGCTTCCGTTGTACAAAATAAGCCACTCTATTAACGACGATTTAGAAGTTCATTAAAATTCCTACACGTGAAAGAAATTTTTTTATCGCCTTCCTTACAGTTACGTAATACATGACACGTAAAACAAGATATGCTAATATTTAAATAAGTTTTATTGAACTAGAAAATTCGTTACAAAT